GCTGTCCACCAAGACACCCAGGTCCCTTTCCACTGTGCTACTTCCCAACAGGTCAATCCCCAACCTGTACTGGTACATGGGGTTGTTGTTCTCCAGATGCAAGACCCTACACTTGCCCTTGTTGAATTTCATTAAATTTCTCCCTGCCCGACTCTCCAGCCTGTCCAGGTCTCGCTGAATGGCAGCACAGCCTTCTGGAGTATCAGCCACTCCCCCCAGTTCTGTGGTGTCATCAGCAAACTTGCTGACAGTGCACTCTGTTCCCTCGTCCAGGTCATTGATGAATATACTGAATAGTACTGCTCCCAGTACTGATCCCTGGGGACCCCACTAGATACAGTGTCCCATTGACCACAACTCTGACTTCTTCCCTTCAACCAGTTCACAATCCACCTCACTACCCGATCATCCAGACCACACTTCCTCAGTTTAGCTGCGAGGATGCTACGGGAGACAGTGTCTAATGCTGTACTGAAATCAAGATAGACCACATCCACTGCCCTACTAACATCTATCCACCTGGTTATGTCCTCATAAAAGGCTACCAGGTTGGTCAAACATGACTTCCCCTTGGTGAAACCATGCTGACTGCTCCTCTTATCCTTGGTATGTCTGGAGACAGCACATCTGGAGGATAAGCTGTTCCATCACCTTTCCTGGGATGGAGCTGAGGCTGACCGGTCTGTAGTTACCTGGGGTCCTCCTTCTTGTCCTTTTTGAAGTCTGGAGTAAGCTGGGTGAGAGATCCCTACAGATCCCAGGAAACAGGGTGGAGAATTACCCACAGCATTGGGGAACCCATTGGGCTCCTGTCACAGCAGGGCAGACTGCAAACCCAACTCAGGTTGCTCTCGGCCTTGCCCAACTGAGTTCTGAAGATCTCCAAGGATGGAGACCTGGACACTGTGCAAAGCTGAAGAACTCTGATGGGGAAAGATTTGTCTTCTTCGATTTAGCTGGAGGTTTCTGTGCTGCAGTGTGGCCTCTTGCCCTTTCCCTGTGCTCCTCCAGAACAGCCCAGCTTCAGGGTCTCCGTAATTCCCACGAGCATTGGAAGGTGTGATTCAATCCTCCTCCAACTCCTCTCCTCCAGGGTGACCCACTGCCTCAGCTGAGTGACATTCAGGAGTGCACAGGGCAGCTGGGAGTGAAAACTTAATCACAGAATCATATTTGCTTGGAAAAGGCCTTTAACATCATCGAGCCCAACCACAACCTGTCTGCTTCTAAACCATGTCCCTAAGCACCTCATCTAACAGTCTTTTAAATGTCTCCAGGGATGGTGACTCCACCACTTCCCTGGGCAGCCTGTTCCAGTGCCTAATAAGCCTTTCAGTGAAAAAAATTTTCCTGATATTCAATTTAACCCTCCCCTGGTGCAACTTGAAGCCATTTCCTCTTGTCCTGTCACTTGTTACTTGGGAGAAGAGACCGACCCCCACCTCTCTACTCCCTCCTTCCAGGTAGTTGTAGACAGTGATGAGGTCTCCCCTCAGCCTCTTTTCTCCAGACTGAAACTTCCAGAGTAACTCCCTAGAGGACAGGGCACGCTCTAGGCTTGACATAGGGGTGAACTCTCAGCCTGCTGATGGCATACCAAGAACTAAGCTGGCAGTCCTCTACAAACACAAACCTGCCTCTTTATCCTTTTGTTTATTTTTTAATTTAAATCTTAATTTGTTTAAATTCAAGATTAGGATGCCCATGCCCTTCTTTTGGGGAAAGGAGGTCAGCTACAGGGCAGCCTGGGTATGTGCAAGCACTCCACGCAGTGTTAGAAGTGGCTTCCATCCCATGATGGTGCCAGGAGCTCTGCCCCTACTGCTGGGTCCCTGGCAGGCAGCGCCCAGGGAAGCTGCTCTCTCCACTTGATTTCTGGGTCACGAATATGCAAGATGGGGCATTTTGCTCCAAGCAATTCAGCAGAAAGCTGTCCTCAGCCTAATTCCCCAGTTCCCCTGGGGTGCTCTGTGCTTCCCAGAACCTGGCACACCTCGCTGCTCACCCAGCATTGGCACTGCAGCAGACAGCAGGGACGCCCCTGCTCAGGTCCAAGGCAGCAGCAAGCCACACTTTGCCTTGTCCTCTGCTGAGAGCAGGTACATGGACCCACCCAAGCACGGCAGAGCTATCATTTGCCCTACACCGCTGACTCCTGCCCAGTCTGCTCATCCCATTAAGATAATGAGTAGCTGACACAGATGCTCCTCCTCCAGGGGCACCTCTGAGTCTAAGTGTTGGCTTATGTGCTGGCTCTTGGCAGGAGGCAGAGCACCATGGCAAACCATGGACAGAGATGCATCTTATATCAAGACCCTTCGTAACAAACTGTCCTGAAAGGCACAGGCTCTGACGCACATTCAGGCAGCCCTGCTTGCACCCTGATCTCTTTGGGGATGCTCAGAAGCACCTCTCCAAACCCAGGGAGTTTCCAAGCTAGAAGCGAAGTGACCATAGAGCATAAAGCTGTCCTCAGTCTCATTCTCCATTTCTTCTGGGGTGCTCCGTGCTTCCCAGAGCACAGCACTCCTCGGGGAAATCAGGATGCTCCCAAAGAGGCCACCATGGGTGCTGTTCCTGGCAGCCACAGCAAACCCCAGGCTGCCCTCCCTAAGCACCACCACCAAAAAATGTGGGCTCCCCTTGGGAAGGATGGAAAAAGCTTCCTAGGAAGATGCACTCACCAGCCTTACAGCTGCAGCCAGCATAGAGGTAGCCATGTCTTCTCAGGAGGCTGCACTGACCATACGGCCCACAGTCATTGAAGCAGGGGGTGAGGTATGCGAAGACGGTCACTTTGGCTTCTGCGGCGTTACATTCACTACGAGGAGAGTGGGTGGTGTTGGTAACCTGGTTCTTCGGGGCAGTCTTGTGCCCAGGGAGCACCCTGATCCGAAGGGCCAGGCCATGTTGGTGCACATGAGCTCCCCATAGTTTCAGGATCTGCTCCATCCCTCCCAAGAGCTAGGAGCAGAGTCAGCTCCCTCTCTGCTCAGACTGCCAACCAATGTGCCAGCTCAGCACCAGACAAGCTGCTTGGGTGCTCACAAGAGAACAAGTCAGCACTGCCACCCACCTCCTTCCTCCTCTTGCAGCCACAGCTTCACCCCAACCGGGTGAGATGAGCCCAGAGCACAGCACTGAGGACAGGGGTTCGGCTTTGCTCACAGTACTCAAGGGCAGCAGGACACAGGAACAGAGTGCTCCGAACTGGCCCCACAGCAGGATGACACACCAGACTCACCCCTGGCCTTTTGGGCAGATGAGCTGCAGGGAGAGGAACCAGTCATCGGTCTGTGGGTAGAGGACAATCAGCATCGCTTCCACAGAGGACGTGCTCACGCTCAGAGGGTAGCCCTGAAAAAAAGCTTAAAGAAAAGAGTGTGCTGTGATGGGCCAGGACTAGGGGAGAAGGGCCTGCAGCAATCTCAGGCTGACACCAGTTGCACAGGAACCAGATGCTCCTGTGGCTCCTTGCTCCCATCCTCAGGAGGCATCAGGGGGGATGGGAATGACCCTTCCTCCTCAGACCGTTGTTTTTTCTTTCATTTCAGCTTTTGGTACCTGGCTGAGAGCACAGGGCACCTGGAACAGCCTGTCTGCTTGGCTAGTGCTCCAGTGTAGAGCTCAGCTTCTCTGCACAACAGCAATGCCTTGATCATCCCCAAACCTCTTGCCAACAAAGCTGGAAGAGCCCCAGGTGGTAACCAGGCCTTCCTTTGGTGAAGGCTAACTCCCAGTGCCAGACTGGCACCTGCACCCCAGCACCCCATGGCACATGCCAGCGTGAAGACCTCAGGAGGGCTTGTGCCAAAACCAGCTTCCCTGGGACACCCCACAAAGTCCCGACTCACAGCTCACGAGGTCAAAAGCAAAGCCCTGAGGTGGCAGTGGGTGCCAGCGGCTCTCGTACCTGTGCTGCAGTTCTGCGTGGCATTGAGGGACAGCACCGGTGAAGCAGCACTCACACACGCAACCACGGTGGCATTGGCCAGGCTCATGGACGTCTGCACAAACAGAGCAATGTCCCACATCAGAGCGTCCCAATGTCATCCCACTGCCCAATTCATCTCCTATGCTGCCCATGGTGTACAAGAGCAGCAGGTCTTGCCAATCAAGGTCACCCATCAACTCAGCAGCTCTTTCTGGGCAAACTCATGTTCACCACACCCTGCACTGCCACTGTGTTACGTGCTGGATGAAGGTAACAGAGCCTCCCAGGGACAGAGATGGGAGAACTGCCCCAAAGCTGGGACAACTCACCCTTCACCTCAGCACAAGCACAGAGTGGCAGAAGTGAGAGGTAGCAGGACACCAAGGCTGAATCCTGCTCCAGCCCTCAGGAAGTTTCACAGAATTTCAGGGGGCTGATTTCGGGCTGTCACTGCAGGAGCCTGGGAATCAGTGACTTGGGCAGGAACATCCCTGGGTTTCCCTGCTCAGCCTCCCCTCCTGGTGGCAAGGTGCCAGGCTCTCGTAGAGAAGACGGCACTGCAGCTGCTTTCCATTTTGTCTCCTCGACGTCACTGCCACCACATGCCAGCAAGTTGTGGCATTTGAATTGGAGCTGGCAGGTGGGACGTGCTGGAAGCAGCTAAAACAGGCTCAGAGTGTTTTGTGACAACAAAAAGTAGTCCCACCTGTACCTACATCCCCTGACAAACCAGCCCAACAGCAGGGACAAAAGCCCACAAAGGGGAGACAATCCCATCAACCAGCCTCCACACCTTGTTAAGCAGGAGACTGACCACGAGGGAACCCCCGCTGTCCATGCCAGTGTTCAGGGTGAGGAGGAGGAGGGTCGGGGAGAGGGAGTTCACGGGCACACTGGGACCATTCAGGAGCCTGTAGCGCACAGACACCACATCCAGGTCCTCACGGACGATGGGCTGGTTCTGCAGGCAGAAGCTCCTCTGGTTGGATGCATTGCGTGACGCCTCTCCAGCAGACAGAGCAGAGCTCCCTGCTGCTCCTGCACTGCCAGGTCTGGGACCACTTTGGCTCTGGTTTAGGCTGCTGAAGTTAAGGAATGAACTGGTACTTCCTGGTCTGCAAGCTGTAAAGCAAAAAAAAAAAAAAAGAGAGAGGAATCAGCACAGCTAGGACTAGCACCTCATCCAGGCAGGGCCCAGCAGCTCCAGACCTTCCAGTGACAGCACAAACTGGGGGGTATTTCAGCTGGGTCACGCACTGCAGAATTGGCTACAGCCCTGAAAGGCACCATCTTTGGAGGGGGAACTCTAGCACCAACATCCGTGCACTGGGACACGGATTGAAGCCAGGTAGTGGTACAGATGGTGGAAGCACCTTGGAGCTGCAGGGGAGGGGAGATGGAACAGAAGAAGGTATAATGCAGTGCACTGTAACACATCAACGTACCGAGGGAGTACTCTATAGCCAGTGGCAGAGCACAGCACATAGCTGTCCTGTAACCACAGGCTTCATAAAAGTCTCTGCCAGTTCCCCAGACACAAGCAGACGAGGCTGAGCAGAAGAGGGAAGCTCACCCGAAACAGCGAGAGGTACAAGCCATCACATCATGGCAGGTGGAGCTGAATGTGACACTTGGACAGCCCCACTGCTGGAGCCAGCCCATGGCCCCCAGAAACTTCAGTGCTCCCCTCTAACTCCGTGGCTGCCAGTGCCAGGCCCTCAGGCACATGGGATGAGGCTCTGCTTTGAGGAAGGGATGGCAGAACCCCCAGCAGAAAAAACACTTAAAGAATGTACCTAGTTGGTGAGCTTCCAAGACTCAAACAGTGATCATGGTCATGTAATAAGAGGATGCAAAGGTGCCTATCACAGCCACAAGGACCTGTGACCTTTTGAGTCACAAGGTGTCACCTGAAATGGTGACATCGCCTCACTACAACCCAAAATATTAGCCCAGGCAAACCTCTTGGCCATGAGCAGGCTACAGACAGTCAATAGTCAACTTATCATTATGGTCTGGTGTATCTACCCAAAACTATTCTCCCCACCAGCTTTTAAGCCAGCCACTGTTTCCTAAACAGCCTTTGAAAAACTATGATTGCTTCAGAGTCTCTGAACTTTTCCAAAACAGGCAGCTCCAGGAAGTATCACCCCTTGGGTGAACACTGGAGCCTTCACTTTTGACTCCGAAGCAATGACTGTGTCTCAGCCCTCAAGGTTATGCCCAGGCAACCAGCATGCTGGGGGACACAGGCCACTACAGCCACCCCAAGGCCCAAGAGAGTCACAGCAGACAAAGTTCTCTCTGGTCCTTCCCACAGGGTGAGAGAAAGTGGAAGCCCACCTGTGAAAGAAGCCAGCGTCTCCACTGACACACTGGCATTGGTGGCGCCGAGACTCTCCACCACAATCTGCAGCCACTTCTCCCAGGGGGGTGAATCCAGGGCCAGGCTGCAGTTTACATTCCCTGTGCAGGTGATGATCCTCTGGAAGGACTGGGGCAATGTGATAGAGCCCAGCACTACCCGCACGCTGCACGCTTTCTGCTCGCTTGTCATGCAGCTTCGCAGCTCAAACTGCATCCTGGCGGTGTGCTTGGGGATGAAAACCCTGCAGGAGGAAGGACCAGCAGCTTGCAGAGCTTGTAGTCTCCACACAAGCCACACACGACCCACCGCAGTCCCTGGAGCTTAGCAGCAAGAGCCAGACTGCCCTGGTTGGTGTTGTGAAAATCCTCCCAAGGGACATGTCTCAAAGAACTAAAATTCCTGCAGCTGAACCTCTAAGACCACCTGGGAAGAGTCAGAGAAGGGTGCTCGTGTGCTCCCCATGCAAACCTTACCACTGTTGCAGTGAGCTTGGCAAACAGACTTGGAGACCCGCCCCTGGGTCCAGCCCCACATGGGAACAACAGCCTCCCCAAAAGAGTACCATCCCCTCATGGCCCCCAGTCTTTCCAGCTGTGGCTCCCACTCACTTGACATGCAGTGGCTTAGCAGGCGAGACGACGGTTTGTGGCATAGCAACACCAGGCTCCAGAACAGGCATATCAGTGAGTCTGAGCACAAACATATCTGCCTGGAACATATAGGGGCATGGAGCGGAGAAACCCTGCAGGAGGGGAGAGCAGAGGGGTCAGCTATGGGAGACACACAGGGTAAGAGTGAACAATGGCCGAGAACCCCAGCAGGACCCTCACCTTCACTTCAATCCTGCCAGCAGCCTCAGGGAGATGGGCAGCAATGAACCAGTCTCCAGCAGCAGGGGTGGTGATGTTCACAAAGGTGGTGTTCTGCACAGTGCTGCTCAGAGCAATGCTTATGCTATAGGATGGACGGACGGTCGCATTTGCAGGAAAACGAGTGCCCAGTGGATTAATTACAGGAGGGGCTCCATAGCGAAAGTGCCTGTGAGAGAAATCAGAATGCAAATAAATCGAGGGATGTAAAGACACTGGCAAGGTAAACTGGGATTCAATCTTGTCAGTGGACACCCAGCTCAGCCTGAGGTTGGAGAGGGAACAGGTTGGAAAGCGCCCACATTTTCAAGTGGACCACAACAGCCATCATTTTCATCTGGTGAGGACTGGCTGCTATTAGCTTATCCGGGATTTATTTAGAGATTGGTTTAACTTGGCTGCTTATTAAGATAAGGATTTGCACGGTTCCATCGAGCCTGAAAGCAAATTTCTACAACACTTACTAAGGTTAAGTCGCAGCCACAAGACTACTCCTTTTTTATAAGCATCAGCAAATTCCCCATATAGGCTAAATTGGCAACAAAGAGCTTTAATTCTACAGCTAAGATCTGCATCTTCCCTATTTCCTCTTTTAGGAGGGCGGACACACAGACTAAAAAGTTGCTCACCAAGGAAGGTTCACATGCCTGACTTCAGTACACCAGCACTTCTGCTTTCCAGATAAGGAACCCAACATTCAAAGTAGCAGAGAAGCAGGCAGCTAAGTAATATCTGGGATATTTATTTGGGCAGCCAATTTGGCATTTAATTTGCCTGCTTTCAGACTGCACTGCAACAGAACAACAGCTGCAACAGGTCCAGCAAGCAAACGTGAACTGGTGATGTGCTATTAACCTGTTTGAGCTTAGCTGGGCTGGTCTTCATTTCTTAGGGTATCACTTTTAGCTGCTGCCTCATCCTTCACATCCCCAGACTATCGGAAACCTTTCTGGGAAGCAGAAAGCAGGAAGATCATCTGTTCCAGGCTGCTCTGGAGCAACCAAGAGTGCTGGTCTCTGTCCAGGACACACCACAGCAGCACAAGCCAAAGAGTGGGTGCCAGAGACCCAGGTGTCTCTAAGGGCACAACCTGCCCAGAAAGCTTGGGACCTTTCCAAGATACAGCTCAAAGTCTTGCCCCATCTGCAAGTTTTTGACCTCGCATTCCCCAACAACTCAAGAACTGCTTTAAGCTACATTTCTTTCACTAGCATTGAGCTTGCAATCTTCTCATGCTCTTGAGCTGCAGGACTTGAAATTCCTCTCCTCTCTCTGCTCCACACACAGCCTGCAATCCTCACAAAAAGTGTCTCCAGTCTCGTCAATTCCTCTGTACCAGGGAATTTGTCTGTCTCCAATCAGTTTGGGTCCTTTCAAGCCCCTTGTAGTCCTGCCACATCCTTTGGTGCACAGGATCCTGCCAGTCACAGAAATGTCCAGGCACACCTTTGCTTATAAGCAGCAACACCAGCCTCACTGTGAGGCTCACTCCAGTGTTTCTATAGTGTCTCTTAGACATCATGGCTAATAAACAGCCCCAGATCCACTGCTGACGTGAACACAAAACGCTCCTACAGGTTTAAACACAGATTCAGTGCCTAGCACATTAAGAAACTATGGCTGCTGCGACTGGGGAACAGATGCCCAACCTCCTACAACCAACCAACCACAGCCACGAGCAAGAAGGACAAGAGAAGGACAGGAGGCCCACGTGGGCAGGGAGTGGCACAGGGACATACATACACTGTGATCTCCATGTTGGTGCACTCAGGTCCTTTCCCTCGGGACGCTTGCAGAAGCCAACGAAGCAGCACGGTGTCTTCTGGCACACGGAAGTGGAAGAGTTTTGCGTTCCCATACCAGCTGTAGAAGGACAGCTTCTGTGCACTCTGAGAGAAGTACTCGGAGACATACAGGGAGTCTGAAAGGGCGAGAGCACAGCAGTCACTGGGGCGGCTGTCACCAGATGAGAGCTGTGCCCTTGCCACAGGCTGATGTTATCAGTCTTGCCCAGCTCAGGACACACGGACTGTGCAACATGCTGCCTTCCTGAGACAGGCAACGAGATGAAAATTCATCTGCTGCAAACCTAACTCTGCTTTCAGACTTACCTTTCAAAGTCTAAAGATTTTGCTACCTGGGAGAAAGGCAGCCAGGATAGCGAGGACAGCCCTAGGCTGAAAGGTCATGCAGGAGGACAACAGCTATTCAGACAAAGTGCCATCAGGACTATCTAGATCCTTCATCCATCGCTCTGCTCAGCTCTGCCTGCAGATCACCCCCAGCCCACTGATAATCTCACGTGCAGAATTATACATTAGTGTTGCTGTCAGCAAGAAACCAGCCAGACTGCAACTCAGGGACAGAAAAGAAACATCATGCCAGGGTTGAGAAGGGGACAAAACTGTATATAGACAGCAGACCCAAGGCCACGCCGCTGACCCAAAAACAAGGTTCATAACACTCAGCGAGGGGGTAGAAGATGTCTTTACATCTCTGCTGAGTCCTCCCAGATGCTCCTTTTCTAGTCTGGAATTCCCTGGAGTGGGGAGACACTGTGGCATCTTTCAGACGCAGATCCCTCATTTCTTCTATCAGAGAACAAAGGCCACAAGCACTGTTTGACTTGCGCACAGGGTGTGTTGGAAATGCAGAGCGCCCAGCTGAGTTTTATGAAGATGCCAAATAAAGAGGAAAAGAGTCCTCAGGCAGGACTGGAGCCTTGGGATGTACTTCATGCCAAGAGGAACCTAATCCTAGCAGGAACTATGATTCATGCCCCAAAGCAGGATGCATGCTGGCCTGCACCCACGGTACTGCAAAGAGACAGGAGTGGTAATCATGGCTTTAATTCCTTGGCAAATTACCAAGCCAGAGCCTCAGGGCACCTTGCAAATCCAACAGTGAAAGGAGGAAACAGGAAAGCAAGAAATACCAGCCACACAAGCCAACCGGAGGAGGACGTGCTCATGGAGGAAGAGTGTGGTCGCCTTGCCCCACCGCAGGGGCTGCCCCAGCGGGGTCCAGCCAAGGGAGCAGCGCTTGCACACCCTGAATGCACAGGGCCAGGTGAGGCCATGGGGAAGGGTGAGCCCTGGGCAGGACATCGAGGAACCCATGGTCTGTAGGCAGAGCCATCCAGCTGCGGTCCCCATGCCAGGGTCACGCCACTCTCTGTGGGCCAGCAAGGAGCAGAGACCACAAAAGGGGCTTTTGAAGCAAATGGTCCCTGGCTGCGACACCAGCACAGTGCGTGGGCTATTGCCGACAAGAGCTGGCTGTGATCCCCTACGAGCCCAGCCACATTTCATGCACTGGAGCTACAGAAGGGAGCAGTCTCTAACCACCACTGGCTGTACCAGAAAGGGTAGAAAGGGACACAAAGCGTGATTAGAGCAGGGACAGCCCTGGCCCTGCTCAATGCAACAGGTCCCATGAGACAACCAGTGCAGGGATAAGCCTTTCTGCCTTGCTGCAAGCTGCTTCAACAGTCACGGTCACCACCCGTGCAGCACATCCTCATGAAGATGACGCATGATTTGTGCGGGTTTTGGGAAGGAGAGGGCAGGCAGGCTGCAAAATTAAAAACTGAAGCAATCAGCGGTACTATTTATAGCTCAAGCACAGTAACAGGTTGGGGGCAGGCGGGCAGACCTGTTCTGCCCACGCAGGGTTTACCACCAGGTTAGCAGCTGTGGCTGGACCAACAACCACCAGGACGGACAAAGTCCACTCGCAAACAGCTTCTCTCAGTGATGCTGTGCAACGGCCCTGCTTGCAGGCTTTGCCACCCTGGACACCCCAGAGCTGCACCCAGAGCACCCTGATTAGGGGATACCACAGGCAGATAAACTGAACATCAGCAGAGAAAAGCCAGAAAGACAGGTCACCGCTAGCACAGTGTGTGCTCCAGCAGCACATTTGCATTGGGAGAGTGTACTCTGGCATTTGCTGTGCTCCATATGTGTCTGACCCATCTATTCAGTACAGCAACACCTGGAAAGTCCCACTGGGCTGTCCCATGATGTCCAACAACACTTTGAACTGAGCAATGGAGTCAAATGGATGTTTTTTTATCCTCTCCCATACAGGTTTCACATAAGCAGATTTCAAATATATTATACAAAACCAAGCGTTTTTAAGACAAGAAACAAAACACAGCAGAACCACAGATGCAGACAGGAGACGCATTATTTGAATTTCAGAATAAAAAGAGCCACCTGCAATAGCTTGGGTTTGTTTGCCCGAAGATGATTTCATGGTAGTTTTAGGAAATGGTATCTTGGCTGCTGATTTTGGGGCTTCCCATCAGAAGGGTGAAGCCCTCATTTCAAAGCAGACGCTGTGTAAAGCCATACAGATGGTGATCAGCCTGACTCTGGATAAGACATGGCTATGTAGAAGAACACTTGGCCATTTATAACATAACAGAAACCTTGTTCCTTCAGCACAGGTCAAAAATCCATTTTTAAATGTCCAAGAAATAGGACTCCTTGCTCCTCTGTTGAGGACCTGATCACTCTGGCTCCCAGACCTAACCCTATGGAGGCATTCCCCCAGCCAGCAGGATGGCGTTGAGACAAACCACCCACCACACCTGGGGCGCAGGGTGGCTCCCCAGGGCTGGGAACCCAGCTAGCAGGATGCCAGAGGAGGGTGGGCCTGGGGCAAGAGGCCATCAGATCCATCGGCTCCCCCGGGCAGGCTCCACACTTTGCAGGCTACAAGGAAGTGCTAACCACCATCAACAGAGGACAGCCACCACCAGCACAACCCTATACCCGCCATGGGGTGAAGAAGGCAAACAACCGCACCTTCCAGCACAGCACCCGATGGCTGACCCTCTGGATGGGGAGGTCCCCAGGGACCACAGACCCCCAGAACCACTGCCAAGAGCAGCCCACCACTCCACTGAAACCCCCGCTCCTGCCCAGCTGCATTGAGGTACTGGGAGTAAAGTAATCTGAAAACAACCAAAACCAAGCAAAACCACCACCGTGTGTATAATGGAAACCCCTCTGAGTCCGGGCCTGACACCTCGCTGCTGTCCAGCGCCGACCAGAGACGGAGCCCCCGAGCACCCAAACACTTGGGAAACCATGAAGCCCCCTCAGAGCCACCCCTGCAAGAGCTGAGGGGCTCAGAGCCGCCCGGGGGATGCGCGGCGGGGCAGACTCCGCTCACTTCAACGTAACCGGGCTGACTCCAACCGGCGCCTCTGCCCCTCAAGGTCCCC